ATTATTAACATTATATTATTTAAAGTTTTAAATTATAATTTGTTTATTAATTTCGTTTTTATTAATGCTAAATCAAAAAATTTGCGCCCAGCTGCTGCGGAACTGTGAGGCAGACTAAAAATGTTATGAACTAAATCACACAATTCTCCAAAGGCCGCTTCACCCAAAGAAATTTTTAATCAAACTCACTTGATCCCAAAAACGTTCTACATTGGTACAGTTTTTGAAGATATCTTCACTCAGCCTCGATTTGCGAAACTGAAATTCAATTATTTCTGCACCAATGCAGGAAAGTGGTCGAGTAGCGACAAAATTTATACATCAGTATCAGAAAGAAGGCTGACTTCCAAAACGTACCAACGCAATGTTTGGATACTGTTCTATTGCGGTATTCAAACTGTTTGTATACAGCGTTGCGAAACATTGCAACCATATACATTGCATATTTCGAATATTTAATAAAACAATGATCACCATTTCGGAATTTTCTATTTCTAAAACACAAATGGTAGCCAAAACCAAACGAAGCATCAACTTTGTTTCTGATGCGCTGATTACTCTAGCGATACGTTTCGATAACTTTTCGGATGCGTTTCGGAAAAGTATACCTTGTCAACCAATTGTGGTTCGGCATTTTGGAACATTAAACTTTGTACGTATGCAATGCAATTGACGTTTTGGAAGTCTGCAGAACTTTATGTGGTGTAATAATTTCAAGATAATTAATATCTTTTCGATTGAAATCGAATATTATTTTCATGTGTCAAATGCTATGATTAAAGTTTTGCTACCTTTCCATATTTTTGGCAGCCACTTTCATATTGGTCACCAAATAATTGAAATTAGCAAAAACCGCGATATTTTTTGAAACGTGCTTTCACAGATGATTAGCCATGCCATATTTGAAGATCAGCGGCAAGGCGAGTTCACACTTTTAGCAGGTGTTGCCAATCGGTCCTATGCTGAATATCGTCATCGTCATCGTCTACGAAGGTCAGCTCATCAGTAACATGGCTGACGATGGCCGTATCGTCACTTTTACTGACGATAACGATATTCAAAATAGGGCGGAAAATTCATCAATTAAATAGAAAAAATTTAAAACGCAAAACTATTGCATGAAGTGAAAGGGTGATAATAACCCCACCAAAAGCTTGTGAAATGGTCCATTTTAAAAAGAATTGAACCAATGGACTAAACGAAAAGAAATGGACCAAATTTGGCCCATTTGGACCAAAACGGCAACTGTGATCAAAAGTGTTAAAGAAGTAATAAATATGTGGTAATTTGTGTTCGTTTAGTGCATTTATTTACGTGAAATCCATCAAAACCTGGTACACAACGTGAAAGAGCTTTTTGCAAACTTTCTAAGGAATTAGAAAAGTTAATATTCGAATTGATACTTCTCTTCACTTTTTCGGACCAGTTTTGGGCAGTTTCCGCTAAACTGCACCACTACCTAAACTTTAAAACGTTTTTCTCGGATTTTTGATTTTTTGGATTATTGCACTCTTGCAGCAAAAGTACCATATGTACATACAACATATGTAGTTACTTCCAATAAAAAAAAAAACAAGCAAATAACACTTACGATGTC